GGTGCGGGCCTTCCCCCGGGGCTCGGCCGCCGGGCCAACGGGCCTCCGACCCCAACGCCTCAAAGACGCACTGCTCAACGCGGCCCGCAGGGACGAGGTCACCGACCAGCTCCGGAACCTTGTCAACCTCTGCGCCGTGGGGCAGGCCCCGCCGGCCGTGTCCGAGTACTTCGCGGGCGCCTCTCTCGTGGCCCTGCCGAAGAAGGACGGAGGCCTGCGCCCTGTTGCCGTCGGGGAGGTGCTCCGGCGCCTCGTCGGCAAGTGCCTCTGCCACGAGGTTGCCGACGCCGCGCGCGACCGACTGGCTCCCCTCCAGATCGGCGTCGCGGTCCCTGGCGGCGCCGAGGCGGCGGTGCACGTCGCGCGCCAGTGGTGGACCCGCCACCTCGGGGACCGGGGAAAGGTGTTTGCGAAGCTGGACTTGTCTAACGCCTTCAACACCCTGGACAGGCAGGCTCTGCTCCGCGCGGTCCACGAAGAGTATCCCGGGCTGGCACCCTGGGCCGACTGGTGCTACTCCCGCCCGTCAACTCTCCCTGGGCAAGCAGACAGTCCGCTCCGAGTGCGGAGTGCAGCAGGGCGACCCCCTGGGGCCCCTACTGTTCTCCCTAGCACTACAGCGCGCCGCCGAGGCCGCCCTTCGCGCGCCGCGCCACGGCGCCGACGGCGCCGTCGACCTGAGTTTTTTCTACTTGGACGACGGCTGCCTCGCGGGCGACGCGCCGGCCGTCGCGCGCCTCCTCCACTTGCTCGTGGCCAGCCTTGCCGCGGTGGGCCTCCAGCTGAGCACTGGCCCGGGCAAGTGTGAGGTGGTCCCCACTGGCGGAGACGCCTCCGACGTGTCTCTGGGCGGCTTCCCGCCGGGCTTCCGCCTCCGCACTGGTCGCAGCTTCGAGCTGCTCGGCGCGCCAGTGGGAGACGCGGACTTCTGCGCGGAGCACACCAAGCAGCGGGTCACGAGCGCCACCGACTTGCTGGAAGCTCTGGGGGAACTCGAAAACGCGCTGGTCGCGCTGCACCTCCTGCGCCAGTGCGCCTCCTTCTGCAAGCTGGGCTACTCCGCGCGCGTGGTGCCGCCCACCGCGCACGCCGCCTCCCTGCTGGCCATGGGCGACGCTGTCCGGGCCTGCCTTGAGCAACTGAGCGGCTGCTCGCCCTCCGACGCTTCTTGGCAGCAGGCTCAGCTAAAACTCAGGAAGGGAGGACTTGGCCTGCGCTCTGCCGCGAAGCACGCCGCCGCCGCCTACATCCCCAGAGGGTCTCGCCTTGCTAACCTAACCTGCAAGCTTAACATGCTTAGCATTTAGGCCGGGGGACTGTCATGCTTATCTAGGAAGTGAAATTGTTATATAAGAAATAAGTACCATAGATATTGCAAATATGATGTATTTCTTATAGGGATTCACTATAGATTGTACACATAGCACAGCAAGGCATATCACAGCATGGTTGACAGCACAGCACAGCACAGCACAGCACAGCACAGCACAGCACAGCACAGCACAACACAACACAGCACAACAACACAGCCAGCACAGCACAGCACAGCATGGGATTCAAGCAGCAGGCACAGCAGCACGAGCACACGCAAGCACGAACACGACGATGGTGTCGCCGATGTCGCCGGTGTCCTGCGCGCCGCAGCGGTTGGCTCCATGGGCAAGCAGGCGGCCAGCAGCGACGGCGGCGGCGGCAAGCGGGCTCGCTGCAGGATCGCTTTTTGCTATTTCTTTTCTTTGTGGGGGAGAGGCCGCGGCCTGAGTTATATAGAGGCTGTCGGCGACCGCCGTTGTAGGGGGAGGAGCCCGACCGCCATGAAGGGGACAAGGTCAAGGAGCGACGGGATCGAGGGAGGAGGGGAGGGGAGGGAAAGAGTGCATGTAAAAACGGCTTACAGCGATGGCAAGGCGCTGTACAAAGCGATCAGGAGCCACATTACCAGCCACAACTGGCTGCGCTACGGGACGCACCCTGGGAAGGACCAGTTCAATTCGAGCTGCAGCAACGAGATATTGAAACACCCCAAGGACGCCGTGTTTTTGTGCTTTCCTTTTTCATTGGGCCTCAGCCTCCTTCCTTCGCATTCATTCCTGGAGCACCTCTTTCTCTTTGCCTGCAGGATCCACCCGCACTTCCATCCTCCTTCGCCTGCTCCTGCCTCGAGTCGGATCCTCCTCCTCCTCCTCCTCCTTCTCCTCCTCCTCCTCCTTCCTCCTCCTCCTCCTCCTCCTCCCTTCGATCCTCGTCCTTCTTGCCCTCGATTGAATATATCTTTCAGCTGATGGCTGCGATCGAGTCGGTTGCGCCCAACTGGGCCATCGCGGAGTCGGCGAGCCTAGAGTGCTTCGAAACGCTGGTGAGGAAGAAGGCGCAGGAGTGGGACTTTGACGAGGCGTCTGCCTCGAGCTGGGCTACGCAGAGCAGCCTGAGGTTGCTTCGGTCAAAGTGCGCACTCGCCCCCATCCAGCCTGAACCCCTTTCGAAAGATCAGCCCCCATGGGATATAGATATCGACATCCGACCTCTACCATTCAGGGCCGCGCCCTGGAAACATGCTAACGTGAGGAGGAACATGATGAAGAGGATGGAGAAGGAGGAGGAGGAGGAGAAGGCGATGAAGAGGAGGAGGAGGAGGAGGAGGAGGAGGAGGAGGAGGAGGAGGGAGGAGGGAGGAGGAGGAGGAGGGGAAAGAGAAGGATCAGCCGAGTTTTTTTGTAATTCACCATTCGCCCGCAGGCTGCGGTCGCTGGCGCGCCACATGTGCGACCCCGTGCTGAAGGAATCCAAGGGAAAGCCCGTGCCCAAATGGCTGCTGACTTTACGCGAGCTGCAACGACAGGATGGCGACGACGGTGGAGGCTCGGCATCAGGTTCCAAGGGCTCAAGCAAGAAAAAACTCAAAGTCCAGGTCGGGTACGATCCAACGAAGACGCCCCCCGTGGCATGGAAGCTGGTCGGCGAAGGTGCACCCGAAACCTCAACGCAGATCTTCCAGGAGAAAGGCACTGAGGACCACGACATGATGCGCGCGAGGTTCGCCGACGGCAGCGTGCACGAGCTCCCCGCGCTCACGGTCGCGATGTACAAGGCTTCGAAGGCAGGCGCAGCCAGCAAGGATAGCATGACACCAGCGACGAAAGGCAAAAAGAGCAAAGGTTGGGTGCAGCAAAGCGTCGATGGAGAGACGGTCCAGGTGAAAGAGAAGTCTTTGTACAGGGTTGCAGGGATCCTGGTAAGGGGCATGATCATGACAGTGAATGGGGCTCAGAAGCTTGAACTTCCTTTCCACCGCTACGACGAGGACTTCGCAAGAGGATGGCTTGAGAAGGCTGCGCAGAAATACGCAAAGGGACAGAAAACAGTCGCACAGCTGAAGGCAATGAAGGAGAAGCTTCCGAAAAAGCAAGGACCGCCCGCGCTCAAGCGCCCAGCAGCTGCCGCTGTCCTCAGGAGGCCTGCGGCCCAGGACGTCGGCGGCGGCGAGGAGGATGAGGGCGAAGACGATGAGCCGCCGAAGCCCAAGACGCCCAAGAAGCACGAGAAGGAGGCAGAGGAGGCAGAGGAGGACGAGGAGGAAGAGGAAGAGGAGGAAAAGGAGGAGGAGGAAGAGGAGGAAGAGGAGGAGGATGATGACGAAGAGAACGAGGAAGGCGAGGAGGAGGAAGCCAAAGTAGAAGACGCGATCGTCGACCCCGCCAGCACTTCGATGAAGAGGCCTGCGGCAGTGACCTCTGCAGAGCTCGACGATATCGACGCGGTGATCGATGGCATTCCGAGCGATGAGGATGAGGATTGTTGCAATGAGGAAGGTGGCGAGGAGGAAGCGAAAATCTCAGAGTCCGAGCTGTCGGCCGCGCAGGGCCCTCCGAAGATGAAGAAGCCAGCCGCTGCAGCTGCGCCAGGGGGCCACCAAGAGGAAGCAGAGGAGGAGGGAGATAAGGCGACCGAGGCCGAGGAGGAGGAGGAGGTAGAAGCTGCGGGCGAAGACGAAGAAGAGGAGGAAGAGGAGGAAGAGGAGGGAGAGGAGGAAGAGGAGGAAGAGGAGGAAGAGAAGAATGAGGCGGAAGAGAAGGCAGCTGAGGAGCCGTCGCAGGGATCCCAGGTGATGCGGAGGCCAGCCAGGATGCCAGCTCCTCGAGAGTCGATGGTGTCCCGAGCCATCGCAATGCTGGAGCACGGGCGCGGCCTTCTTAGGTAGAAGTCTCGAATCGGTGCGATCGTTTGCCCTGCGCCTGAAAATGAAAGAATCCCAATTTCCTTTGTCCTCCACGCTGCCCCCCCCCCATCAACCTTGAAATCGGTGAGCACCCCGTGGGCTGAGGGTCGATGCGATCCAGGGGTCGGTCTGAGATCGGGGCCTCCCGCGGCCCTTGAAGCACGTGTTAAAACTGTAGTTTCTTAAAAACTGATTTGGTGGAGGGCTCCCAAGGGGCCTGGCACCTTGAGCTCAGTCGTCATTCCATCGCCGTCGTAACCCCGACGTCAAGAAACAGATCCTGGGATCCTGGAGGCCGATCGAGACGCCGATTGAATCGCAGCCACGTGCTCCCAGGGACGGCCCATCCCGCCCGCGGCGCCCGCGGGTCCGTGATGAGCGCCAGGCCTGAGTCCCCTGCAGGCTCATCATGCTAAACGGGGGGTCCTGGCAGGGGGAGGCGAGGAGGAGGTCGAGGAGGAGGAGGGGGAGGAGGACGAGAAGGAGGACGACGAGGAGGAGGGGGAAGCGGATGGAGGAGGAGGAGGAGGAGGAGGAGGGAAGGGCTCGAGGAGACAAGGGGGATCCAGGATCCAAGAAGAGGAGGGGGAGGAGGAGGAGGAGGTGGAAGAGGAGGAGGAAGAGGAGGAGGAGGAGAAGGAGGAGGAGGAGGAGCGAGGAGAAGGTGAGAGGTGGGGGGAGTGGAGATGAGGTTTTTGTAGTCGCAACGGGCACGCCCGTGCAAGGGCAGCCGCCGATGCCGCGCGGGTACATCTCCTCGGCGGAGTGGCGGGCAATGACCGAGGAGCAGAAGTGCGCCGCCGATGAGCGCGAGAGGCAGACACAGCTGGAGAGTCAGGACGCAATTGCAGAGGAGCAAGCAAAGCTCGAGGAGGCCAGGAGGCAGGCGTGGTCTGCACATGAGGTTGGCCCCATCGAAGTCGATGACAGCCAATCCCCCGCTACGCAGGCAAGCCCTCCGCAGGCTATGAGCTTTAAAGCAGCGCTTGCTGAGGCGAGGATCTACGACGTGGGCGGCTACTCGCAGCTGAACGAGCCAGAGGTCCAGGCGCGGCGTGCAGCGGCAGGCTACCCGCCCGTTGGCGAGGAGCTGCCTGCAGGATGGGGACCATCGGGCGCTGCAGGTAGCGCCGCAGGTGCGACGGGCGCAGCAGGAGCGACGGGCGCTGCAGGAGAGACGGGCGCAGAAGGAGCGACGGGCGCTGCAGGAGAGACGGACGCAGCAGGAGAGACGGGCGCCGAGGCAGATGCGCCGACGGAGGCTCAGAGTGACGCGACTGCAGAGGCGACGGGCGAGCCCCCAGCTGAGCAGCCAGAGCCTTCGAGGACAGGGCCAGGCAAGCGCGGCAAGGGCCGCAAGAGCGGCAAGGGCCGCCGCCGCAGTAGCACGCCAGTGCCGACGTTGCGCAGGCCAGTGGGAGCGCAACCTTGCTCCACTCACCTACCTTCTCCACCTCTTCGCGCCCGTGCCCACCCCTTGGTACCTCGCGCTCGGGGCGATCGAGGACGGGGAGGCGCGCGCGTGAAGAGGAGGAAGAGGAGGATCTCATAGGTGGAATGAGGTTTCGCCAAGGACGACGACCACGCCGCCGAAGACGGCGCGCCACGCTGCTGAGGAGCACCTGAAGAAGCTGATCAAGGATCGCGGCGCAGGGCACAGGAGCCACCCGTGCCACCCGCCCAAGCAGCAGGGCGGCGAGCCGACCCTTCAGTCGGTCGCAGGCGCGCGCGGCACCAGGGGCGAGATCGAGTCGATCCGAGCGGTGGAGCAGAACAACTGCAAGTTCAACAAGGGGTCGGCGCTCGGGCTGCGATGGGATAGGCGAATGAAAGATCAAAAGTTCGCGGCGGACTACCGCGCCGCCCCCGACCAGGAGAAGTTCAAGGCCGACTGGGTGAAGGACATCTACGCTGGGGCCGTGAAGAAGCACAGGGTGCACGTCCAGGAGGCCTCGGAGGAGTGGATCAAAGAGGGCCGAATGCTGAGCTTCCTCAAAATGTGCGAGGTAGAAGGCGGGCCCACTGGGCACAAAGACCGCGCCACGGTGAAGGCGATGCTGACGGTCTGCAGCAAGTGCGTGGACCTCGGCTGGCCCTTCTGCCAGGTCGACCCGTGGTCAGGGGCCCAGAAGTACATGTACTTCGAGCTGGTCTACAGAGAGTCGTTCTTGCAGAAATGGAGCGAGGTCACCACGCAGACCGAGAAGGAGGAGACGCCAGCTGCAGCTGCTGTCGTGGCCAGGCCCAAGGCTATGAAGTCAACGCAGACCGACCCGAGCGTGAAGGCCATGAGGGACGCCAAGCAGTTCATCGCCAAGGCGCAGGGGGCGTTGTCGGCTGCGCGCTCCCTGAAGCACACCATCAACGATGGCGACGCGTCTTGGAACTGGGCCAAGCCAGACCAGGTGAACGCGCTGAAGACGATTACCATCAAGCTCAATAGGGACATCAAAGCCGTGGAGCTCGGCTCGATGCTGATGAGCGGCCTCGACGCGCTCAAGGTGATTCTACTCTTCCAATCCTCGTCATCCCTTTACCTCCGACCACCTTCCTAAAGTTTGATTTGCTCGATCTCCTCCCCCTTCACCTCTTCAGACTCCTGCCCGTCCTCTCCCTGCTGCTGCGGCGCCCGCCCTGCGCTCCCAGGTGAAGACGAAGTTGGACTCGAAGGCGATCCAGGAGCAGGGCCAGCAGCTCAAGGCCCTCGAGGACACGCCGCGCGGGAGGGTTCGAGGAGGGATCAGGAGGAGGAGAGGAGGAGGAGGAGGAGGAGAAGGAGGAGGAGGAGGCGAGGAGGAGGAGGAAGGGATCAAAGGAGGAGGCTGAGGGGGAGGAGAAGGAGAAGGAGGAGGAGGAGGAGGAGGAGGAGGAGGAGGAGCGGAACAAATTTCAGCATGTCTGTCGAAATCCGTTGCAATCAAGATAGGCCCAAGATGACCCCAAGCCGAAGGGTGAACCTCGAGGAGGAGGAGGAGGAGGAGGAGGAGAAGAGGAGGAGACGGACGGGAGGAGGAGGAGGAGGAGGAGGAGTGAAGAGGACGAGGATGAGGGGCGGACGGAAAGTGGCGGTGACAACCTTAATTCTCTTCCTCCTCCTCCTCTTCCTCCTGCTCCTCCTGAGCTCCTCCCTCCTCCTCCTCCTCCTCCTCCTCCTCCTCCCTCCCTCCCTCCTCCCTCCCTCCTCCTCCCTATCTCTCGATCCTTGCTGCTGCGATCCTTCGTGGTCCCTCGGGGCCCAGGAGCATGCGACTGGCCTGAACTCCAAGTGCCAGTCCTTGCTGAACGCCCACGACGAGATCAACGATCTCAAGAAGGGGAAGGCGTCCAAGCGCAAGGCTTCCGCTGCTTCGGAGGCCGAGAGCCGCCCGAGGAAGCGCAGGTGAGATCGGTCGATCTCGAGGTATGTCGGGGGGTGAGCTGCAGCGCTCTAATACACATTACGCTGTGGGGCAGCGTGTATCGGCAGAGCAGCGCAGCAGCATTCTAATTTCAGGAACCTTCGATGAAACTTCGATGGTTCGGCCGTGCCCTGTGAGCACTCGACGTCTCGATCGACGATTTCCTGAGTTTTTTTTTTGTTTTTTGAAAATCCCCGGCGGTTTCGATCGATGAGTTTTCGATGATCCATCGATGAGCCCCCCCCCCCTCAAACCTGTAAAAAAAACCGGGTCCGGCGATGATCGATCGATGAGCCCATCGATGAGCATCGATGAGCTCTGATTTGGAAGCCGATTCGAGACGTCTTGTGCGTATTGTATTCTGCAGAAATGTAGAGCAGCTCTCCCTTTACCCCTTCATTCTTCTTCTCCCCCTCGCCGCGGGGCCTCCGAGTGGCCGACAGCGGCCACGTTCAACTTCAGCTGCTCGAGCTCGACCTGCGGATGCGCATGCGAACAGTCGGAAATGTAGCATTCAGACAGCACGAGGGGTCTTCGGTCGAATAGTTGCAGCCCCCACCTTCCTCGAGGTCTCGGCTCGAGGGTTCCAATTGAGATTCCCAAGAGTTCCATGCATACATATGGCGTCATTCGATTACTATCAGCGGCGCTGGCTTGAAAAGTCCGAGAAGGGCTTCGTTCCCTCATGGGTAAACCCTCGGTTTCGACCCCCTTCACCCTCTGATGTGCCCAGCGGCTCGCTCAGCCAGCCTTCGACGTTCACCCCCCCCAGCGGTTCGCACTTCGAGGACTCTGGGGAGGAGGCTGCAGCTGCCGACGTCGAGGCCACCCCGGGGTCAGAGGGGGGGCCCCTGTGAAGGAAGAGGAGGAGAAAGAGGAAGGAGGAAGAGGAATCAAGAAGAGGAGAGGAGGAGGAGGAGGAGGAGGAGGAGGAGGAGGAGGAGGAGGAGGAGGAGGAGGAAGGGGGAGGAGGGGGAGGAGGAGGGAGGAAGGGGAGCAGGAGGAGGAGGATCGAGAAGGAGAAGGAACTATAATGCACACAGCGCACGCGTATACATGAATGTGCCAATGACATGCATGATAATGTGTGCGTGCCGCTTGTTTGCAGCTGTTGGATCGAGGGCTCACCATGCAGCAATGGCCACTCCCCGATAGATGACCTCTAAAAGAAGGCGCGTCTATGAGTTTCCTGAGGCCAATGATGTTTCCCGCGAATCCCAGAGAACTGCTGGGAAGCTTTTGCATGACGAGCTTCTTGGTTTGTATGCGTTTGGTAAGCTCCCAGCATCTAAACTTTGCACTATCGCTTACAATGCGGTCCAGGCTGGCGCAATCTCGCCTATATCATCATTCGCCCTTGCCCCTGGCCAATCTTCGGGTAACTACCAGAAGCGGGTTGACAAGGCGGTTGCAGATATGAACAACAAAGAAATAGAACCTATGGTATTATCAGTTCCTGGGCAGAGCACATGGCGAAAAATGCGTTTCGATATTGAGCTCCAGTTCAGGCCCTTCTATGACTTACTAGAACGTGAACTGACGCGCACGCCGCAGACTAGGCGTGATATGGAAGCCCAGCTCCAAGCGCACGCGTGGCCCCCGTCGTATACCACGCACAAGATCAAACTCGATGCGGACCCTCAGGAGTTTGTGATCCCCGTGGGGCTCTTCATAGATGCTGCCCGCTACGGCGGGCAGTCGTCGGCTGGCAGACAGCGGGCGATTCTCGTAGTTTCAATGGCGAATCTGATCAGCGGGCGGCGTCATCCTGGGATTATTCTGAGGAAGCAGCAACAGTGCAAGTGCGGGTGCCGTGGCTACTGCACGTGGCAACGGATATTTGAGTGCGTGCGGTATTCGTTAGAAGCCTTGGCGGCGGGCAAGTACCCAGAGCTCGCGATGGACGACCGCCCCTTCGCCAGCATCACCCGACGGGGGCTCGCTGGCCAACCATTGGGCTTCCGAGCAGCAGTCACTCAGATCATGACGGACTGGGAAGCTGTCGCCCAGTACCTGCACGTGCCCAACTGGCGCCACAATCGGAACCCCTGCCCGCTGTGCAATGCAACGCAATTGTCCATGCACGATTACAGGAGAGCGCTTTTGGCTTTCTTGGGCTATATGTGTGTGTGCCGTTACGCATGCGTGCATACAGTGTCTCTCTTATTCACACACACGTGCGCGCAAGCACATGCATTCACGCATACATTGGCACATGGAGAGAAGACGCCGTGTGACCCTTCCTTGCTCGTCCCCGTGCTCCTCCCACCGAGCCTCCTTCACTCGCTCATCAAATCCCATTCTGCTCGCTTCTCCAGTTCTCTTTTCGCGCCCTCCACCCCTCCACATACAACAACAATTCTAAGCCGCCTGTCTGCCTTGGAGAAGCCTTGGACTGACCACGCTTCCGATGGCCACGAGCTCGCGTGCCAGGCGTGCGAGCACACCGTCACATTACGACGTCGGGGGGATGTTCAGCGACTGATTTCGGCGGGGGGGTTCGAATGGGACACGAGAAAGAAAAATGGGAGAGGCCTCAAGGTTTCCAAGGACGTCCCAGCTCTGAACAGCGACAGTGCCGCTTTGAAGGCGGGCGACCTTCTCCCCCCGCAGCGCGGCCTCCAGGACAACGCAGCGTTCGCCCAGGTTAAATGCCCTTACAGACTTACGTTTTGGAGGCCCACGTCCCAAACTCTGACGAACAACAGAAACGCCATGCTGAGTGAATCGCTGGGAATCTCTATACCGGATACATACGCCGTCGACTACATGCATACAGTAGCCCTGGGCGTGATGTCTTTTGTCGTCGTCACTGTTATATGGAAGCTGCATGGGTCAGAAGCGTACTCTGGCAAATTTGGTGAGCAGGGGCAGCGAGATGCAGCTGCGGCAGATCGCATTAGAGATGACCTCGCACAATGGTATTCGTCTCAAAGGGCCCTGGGGAATCCGCAGGATGAGGTCGACGCTTTTACTATGAATTTGTTTGGGTCCCAACAAACACCAGCCCTGAAGACCCGAGCAGGTGAGGCCAAGTCTCTGTTCCGTTGGTGCGTATCTTACGCACTCCCCACATACCGCGACATTATCGAGGGAGGTGGTGCGCTTCTGGCGTGCGCAGAAGCGTTGGCATCATGGGACAGCGATCTTCATGAGATCGTCGAGGACCCGTCACCCGACGAGATCGACGGACTAAGAATTCTGGCTGCTCGTCATTTGAACCTTCTAGACCAGGCTGGGATCGAATACAAGCCGAAACACCACCTCTTTTGGCACATGACGTGCAGGACTGCGGAGCTCAGAAACCCGTCTCCACCCCACGCCCCCCCCCTCCCTCGGGGGTCAAGTTTTCACGAAGACACTTGATGAAGGGGGTTGCCGTGGGGGCCGAACTTTCCGTGGTTCGAGATCCTTGGTCTTGCGCCAGGGTCAGAAAAATCAAGCGTCCCAGGGTTTCTTTCTTCGGCCCGAATGCTAAATTTCATGAGTGTTGCGCGGGGGTGCACCTACTCAGGCGGGCCGATCTGGATTCGGGGTTCAAGGTTCTAAGGAACCCATTCTTAAACCTGCCACCGCCGCCCCCTCCTTCGATTTCGCCACCCCCCCCTGTTCTTCCGCGGGGGTCTCCTCTTTCCCATGGCCACCCTCGCACGCCGCCCCCCCCCCCCCCCCCCCCCCCCCAAAGCGAGCCGCGGCGGCCTGAGGGTAGCCGTCGAAACACCTGCGCCGAGGAAACGAGAGGATTAGGTCGGAGGGGGCAGGGGAGAACGGGAAAGGTTGGAGGGAGAATGGGAAGGGTAAAGAACAGGAAGGGTAAGGTTGGCGGGCGCAACGCATGAAACAAATCTCGAGGATGGAGCGTTTCGGTCACCCTCGGAGATACGCCACATGGCGTGATGAGTCAATCAACGCAGTATTATCATCCATTGCGCAGGCATCTTTCTCAAGGCAAGGCTGCTGGGAAAAAGGCAATTGGATTAGACTCGATTTGCAGCGCTACCTGGAACTCGGGACTGGCCAGGAGTTTCGCAATGATTAAACTTCTTACCCTATTTGTGATGCTGCAGTGCGCTGTGGCAGCAGTGCCAGACTGGGTCAACCACTGGGCGGTAAAGTGCACTGCGCGTGACCACTGGGGACAGATGGAATTTGCAATCGACGCAGTGCACGAGATAGCTGGGTCTGGTGATCGAAGGGGACATCAATTCAGCATCGATCCTAGCTCGAGAGATGGGGCGTCTGAGGGGGAGGTCGAGAGGAGAGGGGGCTATGGGGAGAAACATTGCTATGGAGAGGCGGGCC